TTGTTGTCTGAGATAGAGTCTCACTCTGTCACCTAGGCTGGAGTGCGATGGTGCCATGTCGGCTCACTGCAACCTCCGCCTTCCAGGTTCAAGAGATTCTACTGCCTCAGCTTCCCAAGTAACTGGAATTATAGGCGTGCGCCACCTCTCCCGGCTAACTTTTGTATTTTTAGTAGAGAAGGGGTTTCACCATGTTGACCAGGCTGGTCTTGAACTCCTGACCTCAGGTGATCCACCCACCTCAGCCTCCCAAAGTGCTGCGATTACAGGCATGAGCCACTGCAACTGGCCCATGCAAGTACTAATAAATATCAGCACACTTCCCTTTTGGCTTGTTTAAACCCCCAGGGTTCTTGGAAAATGTAATCCAGTAGGGATACTAGAATTCCTAACAACATGGCATGTGAAGACGTCAACACAATTTTGGCAAAAGGAAATGGCTCCGTACTTGTACCCCAAGGGTCTGGAGAATTAAGTACACACCTGTTGCAGTAGAAAGGGCACTAGACTGTGTGTCCAAGATCCTGGATTCTAATTGAACTCTGCTGCTCAACAACTCCGTAATTACAGTCAAATTATTTAGCTTCTCTGGATTTTGAAATTTGGTGTTGGACAGGATGAATGGGTTCCAACCTTTTTCCCTTGGGAGGCCCTAATGGTCCCTATATGAGAATACTTGACTGAGAAAATACATATATGCCAAGTCCATTTATAAGTTTCTTGCCAAGGCTGGTAATCACGCCTGTAATCCCAACACTTTGGGAGGCCAAGGTGGGAGGATGGCTTGAAGACAGGAGTTCAAGATCAGCCTGGGCAACACAGTGAGAACCCATCTCTACAAAAATAAGTTTTTAGATTAGCTACTGTGGTGATGTACACCTGTAGTCTCAGCTACTCAGGAGTCTGAGGCTCGAGGATCACTTGAGCCCAGGAGGTCGAGGCTGCAGCAAGCTGTGACTGCACCACTGCACCCCATCCTGGGTGACAGAACAAGATACTGTCTCTAAAAAAAAAAAAAAGAAGAAGAAATTTCTTGCCAAACCCCACCCCTTGTCATGATTCTGATACCTGCAAATTGCAAAACCTTTGATTAAATGATAAATATAAGAGCTAACAGATTGTGTACTTACTATGTACTGGGCATTGTGCTAATACTTTATAAACGTTAATTTTCATAAGCATTCTGAGGTAGTAGTTGCATTTTACAGATGAGAAAGCTGAGGCTAAAGAATTTCAATAGCTGCTTCAAGCACATACAGCAAAAACGTGACAGTTCTGAAACTTAAACTTGGATCTTCCTCAGGACGTAAACTTACAGCCACCATATTTTACTACTGTAATAGAGTTTCTAGCTCTAACACCCCAAAATTCTGTGACCTCCTTGTTACTGAGAAAAAGGGAGCTGGGAGAGAGATGAACCTGATGATCTGCATGAGTTTTGGATTCCACTCTGTAGGGTCAGAATGAATTTGGAAGTCACTGGGATCAGCCTATGCCATTCTTCCAGTCAGTGAGTACTGAGTCCCTTCTGGCCAGGCACGGTGGTTCACGCCTGTAATCCCAGTACTTTGGGAGGCTGAGGTGGGCCAATCACTTGAGGTCAGGAGTTCTAGACCAGCCTGGCCAACTTGGTGAAAACCTGTCTCTACTAAAAATACAAAAATTAGCTGGGCATGGTGGCACACACTTGTAATCCCAGCTACGCAGGAGGCTAAGGCAGGAGAATCGCTTGAACCCAGGAGGCGGAGGTTGCAGTGAGCCGAGATCACACCGCTGCACTCCAGCCTGCGCGGCAGAGCAAGACTCCATTTAAAAAAAAAAGAAAGAAGAAAAAGAACTGAGTCCCTTCTATTCAGCAAATGCCAAACACATAATGTACAGTTATTTAATACAAAGATGAATTTATATCCATCTTGCTCTTGAGAGCTTATAGTCTAGGAATGGAAATGAAAGCTACAGCCTAAAACCCAATTGCAAGTTTGAAATGAGAAGAGTTACAATGAATGTCTTTCTGTCCTCCTTTTTTTTTCCCCCCAGACAAAGTCTTGCTCTGTCACCCAGGCTGGAGTGCAATCATAGCTTGCTGCAGCCTTGACCTCCGGAGCTCAAGCGATCCTCCCATTGCAGCCTCCTGACTAGCTGGGACTACAGGCACGCACCACTATGGCTCTGTCCCCTTTTTAATGAGGAACTAATAGGCAAGTAGGAGACTAGGCAGAGGACATAATATTGTCCCTTATTCAGAAACAGAAAAGTATGATGACAAAGATCATGGACCCTGCAGCCAGATATACCTGACCTTCAACAGTTGCCCCACCAATGCACTAACTGTGTAGCTTAGCATAACGCCATCCTTTGGAACCTCCATTGGCTCCTCTGCACAATGAGAATAATGAGAGAATCTACCTGTATTCGTTTCCTGGAACTGCTCAAACAAACACCGCAAACTTCATGGCTTAAGATGACGTGGCTTATTCTCTCTCTGTTCTGGAGGCCAGAAAGTCTGAAATTAGACTGTCAGCAGAGCCAGGCTTCCCACAAAGGTTCTAGATGAGAACCTTCCTTCCCTCCCCCAGCTCCTGGCGGCTCTTGGTGCTGTCTTTTGGCAGTATAACCCTAACCTCTGCCTCCATCTTCACGTGGCCTTCTCCTTTGTGTCTCTGCGCCTCTTTTACTGTCTCTTACTAGGAAAGGGCATCCTAATCCAGTGGGATCTCGTCTTGACCCTTACTTTAATTGCATCTTCAAAGACCGTATTTCCAAATAACGTCACGCTCTAAGACTGTAGACTGACACAGATTTCGGGAGGACACTATTCAACCCACGGTACTATCTCATAGGATTGTCATAGGGAGTAAATGACATAATACGCGTAAAGCATTCAGCACAGTGCCTAACATGTAACAAACTCTCCATAAACGTTAGCTACATACATGTAGGTATACGTATATATGGATATATAACTTTTGTTATTTACTAGATTTGTCAAAGATTTATTTCATTATTTCACCAAACAAAATAGTAACTTTTAACATTTTTTACTCTTCTTTTATTTTATTTTGTGGCAGGGTATCACTCTGTTGCCCAGGCTGGAGTGCAGTGGTACGGTCTTGGCTCACTGCAGCCTCTACCCCCTGGTTTCAAGCAATTCTCCTCTCTTAGCCTACCAAGTGGCTGGGATTACAGGCACCCGCCACCATGCCTGGCTAATTTTTGTATTTTTAGTAGAGACAGGGTTTCACCATGTTGGCCAGGCTGGTCTTGAACTCCTGACCTCAAGTGATCCACCCACCTCAGCCTCCCAAGGTGCTGGGATTACAGGCGTGAGCCAGAGCACCTGGCTTTTTTTTTTTTTTTTTTGAGACAGGATCTCACTCTGTTCCCCAGGCTGGAGTGCATTGGTGCTGTCATAGCTCACTGCAGCCCCAACCTCCCAGGTTCAAACGACCCTCCCACCTCAGCCTCCCGAGTAGAGGAGACTACAAGCATATGCCACCTGCCCAGCTAATTTTTTTATTTTTTGTAGTTACAGGGTCGTGCCATGTTGCCTGGATGGTCTCGAACTCTGGGCCTCAAGCAATCCTCCGCCTCGGACTTTCAAAGTACTGGGATTACAGGTGTGAGCCACCATGCCTGGCCCATTTTTAACTCTGTGTAGATGTCCTAATTTGCTTGTTTCTGGTTGTATCATTCTTTTCCTCCCCTTTTCTATTCTGTCGAGTTGTCATCTTTATTCTGGTTTCTTATCTTCTTTTCTCTGAGAATGGTTTGAATGTGTGGATATATCGTGAATCTATGTTCTCAATGGGCAGTCTCTTATTGTAGTGGTGATTTTCTTCATTTTCACTCAAGACAGCATTTTGCTCATCTCGTTGAAGGGGGTGAGTTTTTGCTTATTGTTGAGAGTGGTTTCTCCCTGCTCTTCTTTCTGGTGTTATAATGATCATCTTCCATAAATGACCCATTGATTCTTAGGGAGAAGACACACACTCTGCTTCGAAGGGGTGACTTCCAGAGTGTGTCTTTCCATCATTTCTTATTTGTTATACTCTTGTCTTCCACCCAAGTGCCACTGGCTCTTCAGGCCTGTACTGTGTCACTTGTTCAGGATTCTATTAGGTTGGTGCAAAAGTAATTGCAGTTTTTGCCATTGAAAGTAATGGAAAAAACTGCAATTACTTTTGCAACAACTGGCTGGGCACGGTGGCTCACGCCTGTAATCCCAGCACTTTGGGAGGCTGAGGTGGGTGGATCACTTGAGGTCAGGAGTTCAAGACCAGCCTGACCAACATGGTGAAGCCCCGTCTCTACTAAAAATACAAAAATTAGCTGGGCGTGGTGGCATACGCCCGTAATCCCAGCTACTTGGGACTGAGAAAGGAGAAGCCCTTGAACCCAGGAGGCAGAGGTTGAAGTGAGCTGAGATCATGCCACTGCACTCCAGCCTGGGTGACAGAGCGAGACTCTGTCTCAAAAACAAAAAACAAAAAGCAAAAATATATATATATATACATATTTTTTGGACCAACCTACTATTTCCTCAGGGAATTCTTGCAGCCCACTCTAAGCCCACACCCCGCCCCCCACCCACCTCCCCAGCTACAGTGAATGAATGGGCTGATTCATGTCCTGGACAGCACGGAGCACTCAACTAAGGACAGCCCTGAGTACTCAGCCAGATCCTGGACTCTGCCTGGGGCTTTTCAGCAGGGTCCTGAGGTCTGTGATCTGGAATTGACTCTGGCTAGAGTCCAAATTGGACTCAATACGCACTCTGAGCTCCAGGCAGAGCTCCAGGATGGGCCTGTCCAAGTGGGGACAGGCTTTAGGCTAGCCTGAACTCCAAATGCCTGCCGTGGCCCAGGACTCTGAGCTGGGCCGTAGGATCAGCCGCTCTGGACAGCCAAGGCCTAACCACAGACTTTTTTTTTTTTTTTTTTTTGCTTGCTTTCTCCTCAGCAGTGCCCATTTCTCAAATGAAAGGCAAGCCAGTAAGCACATGGAAGGAAATACTGGACTATTTATTGCAAAGTGAGAATTGTCAGCTTGAGAAGCAAGGAAGTTGCCGGGCCCCCAGAAGGCCCTTCTACAACAAAACAATCAAGAAACAAGAGAAGGAGAAAGAAACGGGGTGCGGGAATGAGCTGATGTGCAGAAACAGCCTCCTCGTCCAACTCGGGGACCTTCCTCTCAAGAAATACCCTCGTGTTGTGGTGTTTGCACCACTCTCTGGGCAGCGCGGGCAGCATGTTCCCCAGGCTGGGGTCTCTGATGAGCACAAAGGAATTCCAGGAACCTAGAGCCTTCTCAGCAGTCAGTCTATCTGAGAAACCAGGCCCAAGCAGTGAAAGCAGGGAGTGGCTCCTCCGGGCCTCTGCCTTAGCAGGAAATGAAGGAACTCTCTGGTCCTCAGTCTTGGACAGGTGAGCTGAGGACACCTGGAGCAGCAGGAATCCCACGAGCTCAGCTTCACCGAGACTTCAGGATGAGGCGGGTCTTCCCATCTCCGATGAAGCACCTTGAAAGAAAGATGACCCAGTAAGGTCTCAGCCCCGGAGGAGAGACCCAGCCCTTTGCCACATGTCTCCAGGCTCAGAACTCTCCAGAGAGATGACTTCCTGAGCCTCCCCAGCCTTAATAGCCAGATTCCCTTGGGGAGAGGGAGACACTGTTTCCTGCTTGGTTTCTTTTTTTTTTTTTTTTTTTTTTTTTAATTGAGATAGAGTCTCACTCACCCAGGCTGGAGTACAGTAGCGTGATCTCAGCTCACTGCAGCTTCCACCTCCCGGGTTCAAGCAATTCTCATACCTCAGCCTCCCGAGTAGCTGGGACTACAGACAAACACCACTATACCTGACTGATTTTTGTATTTTTAATAGAGATAGGGTTTTACCATGTTGACCAGGCTGGTCTCCAACTCCTGACTTCAAGTGATCCACCCACCTTGGCCTCCCAAAGTGCTGGGAGTACAGGTGTGAGCCACACGCCTGGGTCCTGCTTAGTTTCTAACCCTTTTCCTGAAGATGCTCATTGCTGCCACTCTGAAAGCCCAGGAAAAAATGAATAGTGATGGCCGGGCGCAGTGGCTCACACCTGTAACCCAGCGCTTTGGGAGGCAGATCACTTGAGGTCAGGAGTTGGAGACCAGCCTGGCCAATATGGTGAAGCCCCATCTCTACCAAAAAAAAAAATTACAAAAACTGGCTGGGCACGGTGGCTCATGCCTATAATCCTAGCACTTTGGGAGGCCCAGGAAGGTGGATCACATGAGGTCAGGAGTTTGAGACCAGCCTGGTCAACACAGTGAAACCCTGTCTCTACTAAAAATATAAAAATTAGCCAGGCATGGTGGCGTGCACCTGTAATCCCAGCTACTCAGAAGGCCGAGGCAGGAGAATTGCTTGAACCCAGGAGGCAGAGGTTGCAGTGAGCCGAGATTTCACCACTGCACTCCAGCCTGGGTGACAGAGACTCCGTCTCAAAAAAAAAAAAAAAAAAAAAAGTGCCTGACCCCCATAGCTCAGTGATTGATTCTGAAGTGGGCAAATCACCCACGCACGGTGGGTCAGTTCAAACCAGTGAATACCAGACCCTAGCTTTTGCTAGATCTTGTTGTTCTATTTCCTCTAGAGTTGTTAAGCTGCCGAGACAAGTCTCGAGTGGCTGGTAAGCATCTTCGCCTCCATTGGAGATAGACTTTGGGTGGCCTAGGCAGGAGGATCATTTGAGGTCAGGAATTTGAAACCAGCCTGACCAACATGGTGAAACCCCATCTCTACTAAAAATACTGAAAAAATCGCCTGGTGTGGTGGCAGGTGCCTGTAATCCCAGTTACTTGGGAGACTGAAGCAGGAGAATTGCTTGAATCCGGGAGGCAGAGGTTGCACTGAGCTGAGATCACACCACTGCTCTCTAGCCTGGGCAACAGAGGGAGACTCTGTCAAAAAAAAAAAAAAAGGAGAAAGACCAAATCCTAAAGACTTTGTCTGAGCACCACCTGAAACCACTGCTCCCTGTGAAGTTTCTGATGATGTAAGCCAATGAATTCCTCTTTATGGCAAACGCTGTTTTGAAAGATCTCTGTCACTTGCAACCAAAGCTCCTAGATGGAGCCATTTTCTTTGCCTCTAAAGAGGCTCCCTCTTTTCTGTTCCAAACCCAAGTGAGAGCCTAGCCCTCTAGCCCCGGACTCTCTGAGAGATGTTGCCAAGTGCCCATTCCACGGGCCAGTGACCCTGTGTCACACTCCTACCTAATGAGCAGTCCAACAAGCAGGCCAGCCAGGAGTGGGCCCAGCCAGTAGATCCAGTGGAAGTCCCAGTGGTTGGCCACCACTGCAGGTCCAAAAGCACGGGCCGGATTCATGCAGCCTCCAGATACAGTGCCCCTGCAAACACCCAGGCACCCCAGTCACCAGGATCCCAGCCAGGCCCCACCTCACCTCACGCTCATGTCCCCAACTAGGCCTAGTCACACACCACCCAGAAACCCTCTCTAAACTCCCACATCATGAGCTCCTGGGTAGATCCTAAAGAAGGTAGAGAGGCTATCAGCACTAGGAAGCAGAAGGTGTGGCTCCCCACTGGGCGTGCAGTCCAGCACTCCCCACAAACTCCTCTAGAACGCCCAGCAAAAATGCCTGCTCAGCGACGGCAGGAAGAGAAGCTGGATCTACATCTGTCCCAAAGTCTACAGAGCAAAGTCCATCGGTTTCAGTCCTTTTGGAGTCAAGCTGACCTAGATTCAAAACCCAGCCCACATATTATAAAATAACGAAAAGTGTATCATTGGATTGTTTGTGACCCAAAGAATAAATGCTTGAAGGGATGAATACCCTGTTTACTTTGACGTGATCATTACACGTTGCTTGCCTGTATCAAAACACCTCATGTAACCTCAGCCAGGCACGGTGGCTCACGCCTGTAATCCCAGCAGTTTAGGAGGCTGAGGCAGGCAGACCACTTGAGGTCAGGAGTTCAAGACCAGCCTGGCCAACATGGTGAAACCCCGTTCCTACTAAAAATACAAAAATTAGCCAGGTGTGGTGGCGCATGCCTGTAATCCCAGCTACTGGGGAGGCTGAGGCAGGATAATCGCTTGAACTTGGAGGTTGAAAGTTGCAGTGAGCCATGATCATGCCACTGCACTCCAGTCTGGGTGACAGGGCAAGACTCTGTCTCAAAAACTAAAACTAAAAATAAAATAAAATAATGAACAGTATAAGTGGATTGTTTGTAACACAAAGAATAAATGCTTGAGGGGATGAATACCCCATTTACCCTGACATGGTAATTATGCATTGCATGCCTATATCAAAGCGTCTCATGTAACCCAGAAATATATACACCTACTAGGTTCAACCACAAAATTTTAAAAATATATATATATAAAGAAAGAAAAACCCCAGCCTAGATAGTTCTAGTTGTGGGGAGCTCCATGAACCTCTCTGTATTCAAGTGAGGTGAAAGTGACTATCCCATAGGTTGTCATCAGAAGTGAATGAGAAAATGCAAACGGAGCCCACACCTCGAATATAATTAATGTAAAAAAGCATTAACTGATCTAACTGGTCCAGATGAGGCCCTTGTTGCACCACAAGCTTAAGGCCCAGAATCTCCTACAGGGAGACTCTTCCCCAGGTGCACCTCTCTCGTTCTGGAGCTCTGTCTTTACCCCATTCTCTCAAGCTGGGGGCCTGTAGACCTCATCCCCATCCTGTGTCCAGCTTCGAAGTCAAAAGACTTGTAAGTGAATCAAAGGCCACTAGGGGGAAGCAAAGCATGGCCACAACTTTACACATTCCCCAGGCTCCACCTCCCAAAGCTGAGGGAGAGCTGACCCAGGAGAAAGGTTAGGCTTGGTTCTGTGTCCAAAAGAAAGGAAAGAGTCAGACATTAGGGAGAGGCTCCCTGGGCTGGGCAATGTGGCTCATGCCTGTCATCCCAGTACTTTGAGAGGCCAATGCAGGAGGATGGCTTCAAGCCAGGAGTTAAAGACTAGCCTGGGCAACATAGCGTAGCCCCCATCTCTAAATAAAATAAATAAGAAAAATAAAAAGGGCTCACTCATCCTCTTGTCCCAAATCTGTCACTTAATTTGCCACTGCCCACTGACCTTAAATAAGTCACTTCTGTCATCTCTGAGCCTCAGTTTCCTTATCTATAAAACGGGAGACATCATCCCCAATCTTGTTGCCTTAATCCCTTCCAAAGCCTGCTGGGAAACTCAAAATAAAGGAGACAACAGCTACAGGTGCTTTTTGTAATCCTGAGGCTAAAACCTGGCTGCCCAGTGACCAAATGAACACGGTTCACAGAAATGTTGTATTTACGCTACGAAAATTGGAAAACATCACGTACAAATTTAAATTTCTGACTTCCTTTGAATGAAATCATCACCCCAGACCCATGTTCCCAGCAATAATTGATAAGAGTTGAATTGACTGGAGCGCCTCTGACACCGCAGTCCCCACCACTCCCTGTTGTCTGCCTGATGCCAGCCCACCTCCCCATTTGCAGCACCTTCCTGGCCCCTAATAGCAACTGAATCTGTGGCCCTCAGGCCTGAGCTCCTCCAGAGCTGAACAGTGCAGATCTGGGCATGGTCGCCCCACTGCTAAGGGACACTCACCCGGCCAGGATATCCACGATGACAGCAAAGCCGATGGAGAACGGGGCCAGAGGGCCCTTTGTCTTCTCATTGATGGCACCCATGCACACGGCCAGGGCCAGCAGCGTCGTCAGGATGATCTCTGCCCCCAACGCCCCTGCCACCTGCCCGTGCTCCTGGACGGTCACAAAGGCTGCCCCAGACGCATTCCAGAACTTCTCCTCGGGACTCACCGCCTGCACAGAGAAGCTGCTCAGCCTCACAGTGGGGCAGAGAGACAGCTGGAAACTAAGGGGAGAGGGCCTAAAACATGCTTGCCCACCGTAAGGGCCAGTGAAGGGTTATGTCCAATTTCAGTTACATAGACCTGGATCCACATCCCAGCTCTGCCAGATTTTACTCTGTGACCCTGTGTGAGCTACTAAACCTCTCTGAGCCTCACTTTGTTCAGCTGAAAAATAGGAATGGGGCTAGGCGTGGTGGCTCACGCCAGCAACCCCAGCACTTTGGGAGGCCGAGGTGGGTGGATCACTTGAGCACAGGAGTTCGAGACCAGCCTCGCCAACATGTGAAACCCCATCTTCACTAAAAATACAAAAATTAGCGGGGTAAGGTGGCAGGGACTTGTAATCCCAGCTGCTCAGAAGGCTGAGGCACAAGAATCTCTTGAACTCTGGAAGCGGAAGTTGCAGTGAGCTGAGATCACACACACCACTGCACTCCAACCTGAACAACAGAGCAAGACTCCATCTCAAAAGAAAAAAGAAAAAAGAAAAAGAAAACTGAGGATAACCCAGTCATGGCTCCAGGTTACAGGCCTAAAGCTTATGTAACTTAGATGATCCTCTTTGAGAAAAAGAACATAAACTGTCTTTTTTTTCTTTCCTTGAGACAGAGTCTAGCTCCATCACCCAGGCTGGAGTGCAGTGACCCCATCATAGCTCACTACAGCCTCGATCTCCTGGGCTCCAGTGATCCTTCTACCTCAGCCTCTCATGTAGCTGGGATCACAGGTACATACCAACCACGCCCACCTAATTCTTTTATTATTATTTTTTGTAAAGATGGGGGGTCTCACATGTTGCCCAGGCTGGTCTGGAACTCCTAGGCTCAAGTGATCCTCCTGCCTCCGCCTCCCAAAATGCTGCGATTACAGGCATCAGCTGCCATGTGCGGCTCAAAATACTTTACGCTTACAAACTTTACAAACACATATGATCAGGTGAACTCATTGCTAGGCCCCCATAGAACCGTGGAAGGGGGGTATGCAGGAGGGCCCTGAAGCCTGAGCTCAATTACTTCTATGGGCAGTCAGCCTCAGGGCTGTCACAGCCCCAAAGGGGAAAGACAGCGCAGTGCGCAAGCTTCTGAACTCTGGACCCAGTCGGGGCTGCGCTGCTTACAAGCACGTCTGAACTTGAGCAAGTTGCCTGCTTCTCTGCCCCTCTGTTTTCTCATCTATAAAATAGGGATGATACTGACAGCTCCCGGCTCACAGACAAGGCCGCTGGTGTGCCTGGCACAAGGTAAGCGCTGTCTATGAGCTGACTGTGGTTTCTCGTAAAGTTGCTGGGAGATGAAATAAGAGAATATGTGTAAAACATTTAGCAGGGAGAATGTGCTCAGGGAACCGTGCTGTCCCACAACTGGCAGAGCCGTGTTTGACAGGTTTTAAGTGGCAGGGCTTGAGCTAGGTCTGGGCACTGCTTTTCCTCAAGAAGCAGAGCAGGAAGGTCCCGGGCATGTTCCATAGATAGGGGAACAGACTGTGGCTCTCAAATGGGAGCATGGAGAGACCAGGGCAGGGGATGACAGTAAAGTGAGGCTTGAGAACAAAGTCTGCGGTGGGTCAGCAGTTACAGCTTCAGACCCTATCGCAGCCAAGCTAACAGAGCTCCCCATCCACCACCCCCCACACACCCGCCAAGCAAGGCCCACATCTTGACGGGCTTGAAGGGTCCCTGGCTGAACTGAGACTTAACGGCAAAAGGAAAGAGAGAGAGGAAAAAAAGAAAAAGAGGGATGGAGGGAGAAAGTCTATCCATGGATTTATGCGTAAAGCTATGAAAATTCTGTGGCTGGCCAGGCTGAGTCACTCATGCCTGTAATCCCAGCACTTTGGGAGGCCAAGGCAGGAAGATCACTTGAGACCAAGAGTTGGAGACCAATGTGGTCAACATAGTGAGAGCCCACCTCTACAAAAACATTTTTTTAATTAGTTGGGTGTGGTGACACACACCTATAGTCCCAGCTACTCAAGAGGCTGAGGTAGGAGGATCACTTGAGCCCAGGAGGTCCAGCCTGCAGTCAGCTATGATTGCACCACCACACTCCAGCCTGGACAACAGAGTGAGACCCCATCTCTAAAATAAAAAAAAGAGGCTGGGTGCAGTGGCTCACGCTTGTAATCCCAGCACTTTGGGAGGCCGAGGCAGACAAATCACTTGAGCTCAGGAGTTCAAGACCAGCCTGGCCAACATGGTGAAACCCCGTCTCTACTAAAAATACAAAAATTAGCCAGGTGTGGTGGCATGCGCCTGTAATTCCGGTTACTCAGGAGGCTGAGGCAGGAGAATTGCTTGAGCTCAGGAGGTAGAGGTTGCAGTGAGCCGAGATCACACCACTGCACTCCAGCCTGGGTGACAGAGCGAGACTTCATCAAAAAAAAAAAAAAGCAAATAAATAAAAATAAAATAAAATGCAAAAAGAAAGAAAGAAGAAAAACGTCCACTAATTCCACTGGCAGAAATAAGCAAAAGATTGGACATTTCCCCACTCCCCACTGTCCCCCCCGACACACACACACATCATACACCTCCAGCAGCCCCATCAGAGAGGAAGCCACTAGCCCAGCGCCTGGGGTTCACCCACCTTGGCCAAGGCAGCCCCGAGCATCCCCCCGAGCAGCTGTGAGACCCAGTACGGGAGGAGCATCACCAGGTTGAGGCCTCCGATCAGCGTGGCTGCCAGGGACACGGCAGGGTTGAAGTGTCCACCACTGTAACCCACAAGAGCAGAGGGAGTCATGAGCCCAGGGCTGACCACATGGCTGGCACTCGAGACAGCATGTCCCAGCCAACCCACTAGGCTGGTTTCACAGGGTGAGAGTCAGTCCAGGGCCCAGCTCAAATACAAAGAGACGCCAAATTGCTTCCAATTTCCCTGAGATGCCAGGCAGAGGGTAAGAGATAAAGGGCAGCCTCTACGTCCTAAGTCCAGCCCCCAGGATGGCCCTGGAGGAAGCACGTGTAGGAGACCATCCCTTAACTCCTCCCTGACTCCCTCCGAGCCTCCCTCCAGCCCTTCAGAGATGTGGCCACAGGTCACATTGAGACACCAAGGCTCCAAGTTAGTAGCCCATGAGCCGTATCCAGGCCTCCCCTTATGATTTGTTTAATTTTATGAGACGGAGTCTTGCTCTGTTGCCCACGCTGGAGTGCAGTGGTATGATCTCGGCTCACTGCAACCTCCACCTTTTGAGTTCAAGCAATGCTCCTGACTCAGCCTCCCAAGTGGCTGGGACGACAGGCGTGTGCCACCATTCCCAGCTGATTTTTGTACTTTTAGTAGAGACGATGTTTCACCATATTGGTCAGGCTGTTCTTGAACTCCTGACCTCAAGCAATCCACTCACGTCAGCCTCCCAAAGTGCTGGGGTTGCAGGCATGAGCTACTTTGCCCGGCCCGGGTCTCCCCTTATGAGTAGCTAGGCCCTGAATAAGACCTCCTGATTGGTTGAACTGCTCAGCCAATGAAAACCCTACTTGTGGTCTGAAAGTGTGATGGGTGTAAAATGCAGATTTGGAGTTCGGGCTGGAAATGGCATGGAGAATCATGGGGTGGAATTGGAGGTTCATGACCAGGTTGGGGACTGGGATTGGGAGTTTGGGGCGTGGAAGGGAATTAGACAAGTCAGAACCTGAGGTCAAAGGGCAGGTTGCAGTTGATCAGCCACTCCCTGGCCCGTGGGTAAAGAGCCTTCCTATTCATCAAGATGTTCAACCAGCCCAGGCCCCAGAGCCAGGGTGGCTGCACTCACCAGTGTCCCATCCAGTCCCACTCTAATGGAGGAACTATTGTCACAGTTTGGCCTCCTGAATCCATCTGGTTTCCAGGAATGGATACTCCCCAATGAGAGAGAAAGGGACCCCAAGACTCCCCATGTCACGCAAGAACCAAAGTGCCCCCCAAACGTTAAGAGCCCACCAATGAGTTTACCCAACCTCTAATGGACATAGGACATTCAGCTGAGACTGGACAGAGGACCTCAGCTCTACACAAAAGGACTTTGTCCAACACCCTGATACCTCAAGACCAGCTGCCCCAACTTGTCTGACTCAGCTCTGGGCCCAGACCCTCATGCATGGTTTGATTTGATTTGATTTTTTTTTTTCTTTTTTTGAGACGGGGTCTCACTTTGTCACCCAGGCTGGAGTGCAATGGTGCAATCTCGGCTCACTGCAACCTCCACCTCCTGGGTTCAAGCGATTCTCCTGCTTCAGCCTCCCAAGTAGCTGGAATTACAGGGGTGTGCCACCAAGGGGTTTTGTCATGTTGGCCAGGCTGCTCTTGAACTCCTGACCTCAGGTGATTCACCTGCCTCGGCCTCCCAAAGTGCTGGGATTACAGGCGTGAGCCACCGTGCCCAACCTCCATGCATGGTTTAAAAGCACCAGCCAGTGCTCAGACTCCACAGGTTAGGAAGAGGGGCAGCCGGGCCTACTTGGCCTCAAGTAGCTTAGCCTGGGCTCTGCTGAGATACACAGATGGAGTCAGGGTGAGGCGGCTTCCCACGGGAGCCCCAAAAGGGAGAGAAACTGTCATTCAGAGCATGGCTGTACCAGGAGGGCCAGGTGACGAGAATCACACATTTCCTGGTTTACACTCATTAGCAATAAAACAATCAAGACACATTCATTCCTTCATTCACTGTTCACTCAGCAAATATTTCTCTAACGCTTACTCTGTGCCAGGTGCTGTGGTGCTTGTAACTTACATACGTAACTTATCCTGGATCTGGTGAACAACCTCAAAGTCAGTGTCTGGCACGCAGTAGGTGCTGAATAAATATTTGTCAAAAAAGCCAAACAGAGAGACAGTATTTGCAGTGCCAAAGAGATGATCTTTCCTGCCAGCTGGCCTGGGTTCAAAGCCCAACTCTGCCACTGAAGAGCTGTGTGACACTGGCCAAGTTACATAACCTCTCTGTGCCTCAGTGATCTCTGCCTGAGAAAGCTATTGCAACGATACAAAGAATTAATACGTGTACAGCCCATAGTACTATCTATGGAGTTAGCATTCAATAAACATCAGCTATTATTATTACTCACATTTATAACACTGCACACAGAGGCTTCGGCAACTTGCTGTGGTCACCCAGCTAAGAAGTGATAAAGGTTGCCTTCAATCTCAGATCCGTCCAAAGGGAATATCATATACTTTTTCTTTCACTCACAGCCTCCCTTGGACGTCTAAAGAGACGTGGTTTTGTTTGTTTGTTTGTTTGTTTGTTTGTTTGTTTTTGGAGATGGAGTCTCACTCTGTTGCCCAGGCTGGAGTGCAGTAGCACAGCCTTGGCTGAATGCAACCTCCCCCTCCTGGTTCAAGCAATTATTCTGCCTCAGCCTCCCAAGTAGCTGGGACTCCAGGTACCTGCCACCACTCCCAGCTAATTTTTGTAGCTTTAGTAGAGACAGGGTTTCACCCTGTTGGCCAGGCTGCTTTCCAACTCCTGACCTCAGGTGATCCACACGCCTCAGTCTCCCGAAGTGCTGGGATTACAGGCGTGAGCCACTGCACCCAGTCTAAGGAGATGTTAAAGCTCTTTTCCATTCTGGTTTTCTCAGAAACAGTATTTCTGTTTCCCCATTCAGATCTATGTTTTGAGTGAGATTTGATACAGACCAACCATGTCCCAGATCACCCTGCCAGGCACCCCATTCAGGATCTTCGTCGTGCTGGCTGGCTCTCCTGGGAACCAGCAGCCATGTCCACAGACCTTCCCATTGATCCTCTACCCAGATGAGAGCTAAGCCAGAGAAGCCTGTCCCTTTCCCTGCCCCTCCTTCTTGGTCACCTCTTGATAAGCCAGGACCACTGCAAATCCCCGCATACCCAGGTGGGAAAACCTGGCTCAGGTCTTCTGTGCATTTCTGCTTTCCCTAAAACCCCCTTCTAGTGGTAACAATAACACAGCAACCAATGCCTATTGTATGTTTGGTGTGTGCCAGGCGCTCTACTTCATTTAATTCTCACGCCTCCCCCCGAGGCACTTGGATTTGAGCGCTGGAGCCGGACAGCTTGTTCTTGATTGCCGGCTCTGCCACTCTCTGGCCCTCTAAGCTTGGACAGATTACACAGCCTCTCTCTTTTACAGCTATAAAATGGGGTTAATAACAAGACCTACCCCACAAGGCTTTTGTGAGGATTAAATAACAAATATCTATAAAGTAATTAGACTAGTGCCTGGTACATGGTTAGCAATATAGATGGGTTGGCTTGAAAAAAAACCATTTAAAAGTACGCTACTATTCCCATTTTATAGGTGGGGAACTTTGGGTTTAGAGAGTGACTTGCCAGCCAGGCATGGTGGCTCACACCTGTAATCCCAAAACTTTGGGAAGCCAAGGCAGGAGGATCGCTTGAGACGAGGAGTTCAAGACTAGCCTGGGCAACATAGTGAGACCCCATCTCTACCACAAAATTTAAAACTTAGTTGGGTGCTGTGGCACATGCCTGTGATCCAGCTACTCAAAAAGAGAATGACTTGCCCAAAGTCACAAGCTCACAGGCTGTGGGGTCTGGAGTTGACCCCAGACAGTCTGACTCCCAACCCCATCGTTATCCAGAGCGCTCCTTGAAATCCCCAATATATGCGCCCAGGGGTCCTTGACAACAGCTTTGCTTTCCACCCCCAGCGCCCCAAGTCAGCACCAGGCTGAATCCTCAGAGCTGGTCTCACCTGATATTCCCCAGTGTGGCAATCACGAGCCCCAAAGCCAACCCATGGGCCAGGGCCGGCTGCAGCAGTCCAGTGTCCGTCCCATTCTCGATGACCGACAGGCACCCGATGAAGATGAAGAGAGCAGAGCCCAGCAGTTCGACCAGGCACGGCTGCACAAACCGTTCATACCAGGACACTCGCCACCTGCCACCCACACTCGGCTCCCTGGCCTTGCCGTTGCCAAATTCAGGCTCACACATGGCTATCTGCCGTAGGGAAAAAGGGACAGAGGATACGGGTGGGAGGCAAGTCCAGACACAGAAGGTCCCGACCCCCAACCTTGAATTAATTCACAGCCCCCCCTTGCTCTGCCAGCCTGGAGAGGAAGATGCTGGCAGAGGGCTCACCTCTCCAGACATCAGGATCAGGTGGCACAAACATCAGGCTGTTGCCTGAGCTGCTGGGAAACCTGCACCTGCTGTCCAGGACGCTGTTATCTCCTAGGGACAGGACCTGCTGGTCACACTATAGGCTCTGCCCCTTTTAAAGGGCTGCAGAGGCTCAATGCAAGTGCAGAGAAAGCAATAAACCTCAGGTAGGAGGCGGCTCTGAGGCCCAGAGGAGGAAATTTTTTTAAATCTCAACAGGGCAGGATGAGGGAGTCAGGGATTGCTGAACTTTCCACCAATGAGGGAAAAACATGCCAGCTTGGCTATGTCATCTGGGAGCACACTCCAGGCTGTAGAAGGTGGGAGATGGGTCCAGCACCCCAGCTCCCCATGGTCCAAAGCAGGACAGTGCATGTAAGTGGGTCCCACTGGGTTGGAACGTCACATGTTAAGAAACAGCAAACTCAGCCAGGCACAGTGGCCCACACCTGGAATCCCAGCACTTTGGGAGGCTGAGGTGGGTGGATCACTTGAGGTCAGGAGTTCGAGACCAGCCTGGCCAACATGGTGAAACCCCACCTCTACTAAAAACACAAAACTCAGTCGGGCGTGGTGGTGCATGCCTGTAATCCCAGCTACTTAGCGGGGCGAAGGCAGGAGAATCATTTGAACCTAGGAGGCGAAGATTGCGGTGAGCTAAGATCGTGCAACTGCACTCCAGCCTGGGCAACAGAGCAAGGCTCTGGGAAAAAAAAAAAAAAAAGGAAAGAGAAGGAAGAAAAGAAAAAAGAAAAGAAAAGAGAAAAAGAAAGAGGGTGGGAGGGAGGGAAGAAGGGAGAGAGAGAGAGAGAAAGAGAGAGAGGGAGGGAGGGAAGAAAGAGAGAGAGAGAGAAAGAAAGAAAGAAAGAAAAGAAAAGAAAAGAAAAATAAATGGCGTGTTGGTGTTTACCTGTAATCCCAGCTACTCAGGAGGATGAGGCATGAGAATCACTTGAACCCAGGACCCAGAGGTTGCAGTGAGCTGAGATCACACCATTGCACTCCAGCCTGGGCAACAGAGTAAGACCCTGTCTCAAAAAGAAAAAAAAAGAAAGAAACAGCAAACCCATTTTCAAGTATTTTTCCACTGAGTCCCACAATTTCAAACACCTGCAGTCACCGTGACAGCCTGAGCCAGGACTGAGTGTATAGATGACGATCCTTCACAGACAGAGGCAGCAGAGACTAGCACGAGGTAATGCAATGCAGCGGCAAGACCCATGGACTTTGGAAACAGGCTGCTTGGAGTTCAGTCCCAGCTCTGCCGTAAACTAGCCATGTAACCCTTGGGCACACCACTTGGCCTCTCTGGGCCTTTGTTTTCTCATCTGTTGGGTGTGGATGTTTGTGGCTGCACCGTGTCATAGGGTCGTTGGGAAGTTTAAATGAGATAATATGGATAAAGTGCTCAGGACAGTGCTAGACACACAATACCAGTGTCCACGAATTTACAATGTATGCTTGGGTGTAAGTAATAGCTAATAGTGAGCATGTTCTATGTGCCAGGCACTGGGGCTAAGTGCCTTCTATTATCTCATTTAAACCTCACTGCCACCCTGTGAAGCAGGTACTATTATTATAGCCATTTCACAGACGAGAAAGTGGAGTGTCAGGAAGATTGAGTTTCCCAGGATTATACAGCTTATATGATCACAGAACTTGTGGGCTGTCACAAGAGGATAAATACTGTATATGATTCCACTTGTATGAAGTACCTAGACTAGTCAAATTCATAGAGACAGAAGTAGAATGGTGGTTTCCAGGGCCCGAGGGGAAGGAAGAATGAAGAGTTTGTGTTTAGCGGGTACAGATTTCCTGTTTGGGAGGAAAGTTTTGGGATGGATGATATAGTGACACAACAGTGTGAAGTACTTAATGTCACTGAAATGTACACTTAAAAATGGTTCAAATTGCCAGGCATGTTTGGCTCACACCTATAATCTCAGCACTTTGGGAGACCAAGGCAGGCAGATCACTTGATTTCAGGAGTTCAACACCAGTCTGGCCAACATGGTGAAACCCTATCTCTACTAAAAATACAAAAATTAGCTGGGTGTGGTGGTGCGCACCTGTAATCCAAGCTGCTTCAGAGGCTGAGGCAGGAGAATCACTTGAACATGGGAGGCAGAGGTTGTAATGAGCTGAGATCACACCACTACACTCCAGCCTGGGTGACAGGACGAGACTCCATCTCAAAAAAAAATAGTTAAAATGGCATATTTTATTTTATGTGTATTTTGCCACAATTGAAAAAAAACATACTTGTGAGCTAACCCACTACACTCTACTGCCTTTCTAAGAGGGATGGATGCATGGATGGATGCATGGATGGATGGATGGATGGATGGATGGATGGATGGATGGATGGATGGATGGATGCATGGATGGATGGATGGATGGATGGATGGATGGATGGATGGATGGATGGATGGATGGATGGATGGATGGATGGATGGATGGATGGATAAGTGGATGAGTGGATGCATGGATGGATGGATGGATGGATAGATAGATGGTTGGGTGGATGATGGATGGATGGATGGATGGATGGATGCATGGATGGATGGATGGATGGATGGATGGATGGATGGATGGATGGATAAGTGGATGAGTGGATGCATGGATGGATGGATGGATGGATAGATAGATGGTTGGGTGGATGATGGATGGATGGATAGATGGGTGGGTGGATGGATGGATGGATGGATGGATGGATAGGTGGGTGGGTGGATGGATGGATGGATGGATGGATGGATGGATGGAAAAAAGGGAAGAAAGAAAAGAAAGGAGAAGGGAGGAAGGAAGGGAGAAAGGAAGGAGGAAGGAAAGAAAATGAGATGAGTTCCTTATCCATTCATTCACTCACCAAACATTTAAATAGCTGCTGCAAGTCAGTCACTGCTCTAAGCTGGCTGGAGATGTAGCAGTGAACAAGACAGGCAAAATCCTGCTCTGTGCTCATAGCTTTATCTCTGAGTGTTTGTATGCACTGATAGAGAAGTCATGCTGGAGCTAAAGGAATTTTAATGATTATTTCTGACATTTCTCAACTACTCGCTACATCTCCAACACCATGTTAAACACTCTGTATATATTCGTAACCCCCCTTTGAGATAAGTCTTATCACTTATTATCACCATCTTCAGATGATAAAAATGAGGCACAAAGAAGTTAAAGAACTCACCCATGGCTGTGTACACAAAGAATATCTGCTTCAGGACAGAAGTGGATATATCTAGAGAAGAGTGTGACAGTTTGTTGACAGCCCATGTCAGTGAGAGGCCCAGGAATACAGGGTCTCTGCCGGATATCTTCACCCCTAGGAAGGTTATCTTTAGCCCTGTTCTCTACCTCCTCCATATCCCACATATCCCACAGCACATCATACAGGATGTTTCTTAGACCCTTCCTTCCACGTCCTATAAATAGCAACATAAGATAGTCTGACCCAAGGCTGCCCCATCCCCCTCATTATTTGCTCAAGTCCTGCCAGTACTGCTTCCAGAATAATTTTCTCTTGTTTTCACCCATGCCTTCATCTATTCTTGCTTAGTCCCTTGAACAAAGAAAAACTAAGCTGGGTGCACTAGCTTGCACCTGTAATCCTAGCACTTTGGGAAGCCAAGGCGGGCGGATCACGAGGTCAGGAGTTCAAGGCCAGCCTGACCCACATGGTGAAACACCGTCTCTACTAAAAATACAAAAATTAGTCGGGCATGGTGGCACACGCCTGTAATCCCAGCTACTCAGGAGGCTGAGGCAGGAGAATCGCTTGAACCTGGAAGGCGGAGGTTGCAGTGAGCTGAGATCGCACCACTGCACTCCAGCCTGGGCAACAGAGCGATACTCCATCCCCCACCCCCACCTCAAAAAAATGGATTATTTGCTCACATAACAGTCCATGGCAGGCTCGTCTCCAAATGGTGACTCAGGGATCCAGGCTACTTCCATCTTGGAGCCGCCCCATCTAGGTCCTCAGATCTTCTCCAGCAAAACAGGAAAAAGAGAATGTGGAGGGCTGTGCAGGAGATTATTATGTGCTGGGCCTAGAAATACTATATATCCCTTTCTGTATACTTGATGGGCTCAAACTCAGTCACATGGCTTCACCTGACTGCAACAGAGCCTGGGAATTGTAGTCTTGCCCTGTGCCCAGGGGGAAAAAGAAAGGCAGTTTATGAATATCGAGCAATGTCTGCCACATACTAGAAATTGTTGCTTTCCCGGAGACCATGGTTCTAGTTGAGTTTTTCCCTGAATTAAGTTATTCAGTGTCTCCCATGGTTTCAAGACAAAACCAGACTCCCTTAGCTAGCCACAGAGGCGTCAGTTCCTAGCCCCTGAATCATCTCTTGCCACATGAACCCTAAACAACTTATCAGATAAGCTATGTGCCCTCACCCGGCCTTGTCCATGCCGGTCCCTCTGTTTGGAGTCCTTGTTTGCCCTCTTGGCCAACTTCTACTGCTCATTCAGATCTCAGATCAGATATTATGTCCTCTCTGATGCCTGGGCCAACTACCTAATAGTCCTCTAAAAACACCCTTCCCTTGCTCAAGGCAAGGTTGGATTCCATAGTTCCAAAACTAGACCAGCGTGGTGGCTCATGCCTGTAATCCCAGCACTTTGGGAGGCCAAGGTGGGCAGATCACAAGATCAGGAGGTCGAGACCATCCTGGTTAACACGGTAAAACCCCGTCTCTACTAAAAATGCAAAAAATTAGCTGGGCATGGTGGCGGACGCCTATAGTCCCAGCTACTCGGGAGGCTGAGGCAGGAGAATTGCTTTAATATGGGAGGCGGAGGTTGCAGTGAGCCAGGATTGCACCGCTGCACTCCAGCCTTGGCAACAGAGCAACACTTTGTCTCAATTAAAAAAAAAAGAAAAAGAAAAAAAAAGAAAACTAGTGGCTTCCAGGGAAAACCTGAATGCCATTCAGACAAAACAACATATTTCCACTACATGAGAGTTTTACAGTATGTCCTGATGTCCTCATACACAATATACTGGTCTCTCAAAACCACTGAAAAACGTAGTGGGCTAAGGAGATACTATCTTCCTAAGAAATTCTTTGGCTGGCAAACTTCCTAGTTTTCCAAACCCAGGTCTCATTGACACGACCAAGGTTTCTCATTTTTATCCCTGTTTGGTTGGCAAGACCTCTCTGCATCTATACTTGTCTGCCATCCCACACCAGGTCCAGATGGAGTGTAGAAGCAGGTCACATTTTACCCTGGCATCTCACCTTTCTCTTCTTTCTTGCCTTGATGGCTGCACTATTGTGCCAGATGTGATGCTGGTGCTGTGGCAGCCACCGTGGACCATATATATAGGCCAGATGTAGTGGCTCACGCTTGTAATCCCAGCACTTTGGGAAACCGAGGCAGGCGAATCACCTGAGGTCAAGAGTTCAAGACCAGCCTGGCCACATGGTGAAACCCCGTCTCTATTAAAAATACAAAAATTAGCGGGGTATCATAGCACACACCTGTAGTCCCAACTACTCAGGAGGCTGAGGCAAGAGAATCACTTAGACCTGGGAAGCAGCAGTTGCAGTGAGCCAAGATCACTCCAGCCTGGGCAACAGAGCAAGACTCCATCTAAAAAAAAAAAAAAAAAAATATATTTATATATATATATATATATATATATATATACACACACACACACACACACACACACACATATGATTATAAAACCTAAGACCAGTACTTGAGATATTTTGCAGACCCTGCCCTTGATGGGTCAGCTGGCACTACCCAGATGGATAAACTGGCTCATCTGATCTTGTGCCCTCCCCCCAGGAACTGACTCAACGCAAGAAGACAGCTTCGACTCCCTAAAATTTCATCTCTGACCGATCGACACTCCTGCCTCACTGGCTTACTCCCACCCACCAAGTTTTCCTTAAAAACTCTGATCCCTGAATGCTCAGGGGGACTGATTTGAGTAGTAATAAATTGGTCTTCTGCACAGCCAGCTCTGCGTGCATTACTCTTTCTCTATGGCAATTTCCCTGTCTTGATAAATTGGCTCTGTCTAGGCAGCAGGCAAGGTGAATCTGCTGGGAGGTTATGTAATTATTTAGGAATGAAATACAAATATAAATAAAATATGTTTTTAACGTACGTGTCTTATTCAGTGTATGTGTGTTATTGTCTGTATGTATAATATAAGTGAATTTTTTGTGTACATGTGGGGTTTTTTTCAAATGGCTACTAAGTTGTTAGAACTTAAGAACTTTTTTAGGCCGGGCGCGGTGGCTCAAGCCTGTAATCCCAGCACTTTGGGAGGCCGAGACGGGCGGATCACAAGGTCAGGAGATCGAGACCATCCTGGCTAACACGGTGAAACCCTGTCTCTACTAAAACAATAAAAAAACTAGCCGGGCGAGGAATGGGGCGGGCGCCCTGTAGTTCCAGCTACCTCGGGAGGCTGAGGCAGGAGAATGGCAGTAAACCCGGGATGGAGCTTGCAGTGAGCTGAGATCCCGGCCACTGCACTCCAGCCTGGGCGACAGAACGAGACTCCGTCTCAAAAAAAAAAAAAAAAAAAAAATTTTTTTAAGTGTTTCGAACCTAATTCCTTAATAAATAGAGCTATTAGGTATTGTTTTGGGGGAGGGGCCTCTGCACAGAGTGAACCAAGAAAGTGTGGGGTCCTCTGAATTAAAGAATGTATGTTCTTCTATTTCAAGTACTTGCAGAAGAGAACAGTTCTTGCAGATACATCATCCCAAAATTCCAGAGATACTGGGTTTCAGCTTAATGATTTCTTCTCAAAACTAGACACCACTTATAATGCAGAGACTTGACAATTTAGGCTGTGCTCTGTGGACAACCACAGAAACTTAAAGCAGAATCTCTCATTCTCTTCTGAAACTGCTTTCTTTCTATCTCAGTAGATTTGCAAATGTATTCAATATATTACCACTTGGAGCTCAGGGCCACCAGCCGTTGGAAGTAAGTCTAGTTTTCACCTTTCCGTCTTCTCAAACTGCAAGATTAGTTTGCATCTGAGCAACTTCCTTCCTCATAGAAGTCACCAGCTCTTTCTTTTCTCCCCTGCAGTGTCAAAGTCAAGTTGTTGAATGTCTTTTGAGTCACAGGTAACCAGTTATACTGGCTATTTCAGAATGCTCTACAGCCAAAGCGTTCTTGAACGAAGGAAGAAGTCCACTAAGTCTCATCAGCAAGGGTCCAGCTTCTCTTCATCTGCATGTTTTGAACAATAAAAATGACCACCATTTTCTGAGAACCTACTGAGAGCTTGGCACTCGGGCTTCTTTTTCTATCTCTTTTATCCTTTTAATCTACATCCAATTAAATAACTCTACAGAAGAAAAAATCCAAATGATCCATAAACAGACAAAAAAAAAAAATACTTAATCTCTGCAATAGCCAGAAAACAATTCAAATTAAAGCAACAGAAATAACATTTTCACCATTAGACTGATAGAAAGATTTTTTTTAACTGATTAACATATAGTGCTGATAAAGAAGGGGAAAACAGGCCGGGTGCAGTGGCTCACGCCTGTAATCCCAGCACTTTGGGAGGCCAAGGCAGGCGGATCACCTGAGGTCAGGAGCTCAAGACCAGCCTGGTCAACATGGTGAAACCCTGTCTCTATTAAAACTACAAAAATCAGCCGGGCATGGTGGCTCATGCCTGTAGTCCCAGCTACTTGGGAGGCTGAGGCAGGAGAATTGATTGAACTTGCGAGGTGGAGGTTGCAGTGAGCCGAGATCACACCACTGCACTCCAGCCTGGGTGACAGAGTGAGACTCCATCTCAAAAAAAAAAAAAAGAAAAAAGAAAAGAAAAAAAAGATGGGGGAAAACAGGCAAACTTATACATTGCTGGTAGAAGTGGGAACTGCTACAGTATTTTGTAACATAATCTTGAAGTAGTTATTGTTAAATACTTAGATACACACACCTTTGACCCAGCAAACCTCAAACTGGGAATTCTAGACTACAGAAATAAAAGCTCCATTAGGTGTGAATACAATTACAGAGACATTGACTTCATTTATTTATTTATTTTGTATTTTTGAGACAGGGTCTCACTTCCATCACTCTGACTGGAGTGGAGTGGTGCAATCTCGGGTCACTGCAACCTTCGCTGACTAGGCTCAAGAGTTCCTCCCACCTCAGCCTCCTGAGTAGTTGAGGCCACAGGTACACGCCACCAGGCCCGGTTAATTTTGTTTCTGTATTTTTTGTACAGACAGGGTCTCATTATGTTGCCCAGGCTGGTCTTGAACTCCTGAGCTCAAGCAATCCACCTGCCTGGGCCTCCCAAAGTGCTAGTATTACAGGCGTGAGCCACTATGCCTGGCCAACTTCATCACTGTTCACCATAGGAAAAAAAAAAAAAAAAAGATGAATGTCTACTTTCAGTGTCCTGAACATCCCATAGTTTCTCTCACTGTTCAAGTCTTCAGTCTACTTCTTTTACCCAAACTGCTCCCTAATGCCGAAGACAACCTACCCATCCTTCAAGTCTCAACTAAGAAAAAATAATTTTGGGGGGCTGGGCAAGAAAGTGAGACCTCATCTTTACAGATTAAAAATTAAAAAGTTGGTCAGGCTTGGTAGCATGTGCCTGTAGTCCCAGATGCATGGGAGGCTGAGGCAGGAGGATCGTTTCAGTCAAGGAGGCCAAGGTTGAAGTGAGCCATGTTTGGGCCATTGCACTGTGGCTTGGGTGACAGAGTGAGAGCCTGTCTCAAACAAAAAACAGCAACAAAATATATATGTATGATTTTCTTGTTTTTTTCTAATAACTTTATTGAAGCATAATTGATATACTGCACATAAGATAAAAGGATAAAAGATGATAATTTTTTTTTTGAGACAGAGTCCCCGCCATGTCACCCAGGCTGGAGTGCAGTGGTACGATCTCGGCTCACTGCAGCTTCCGCCTCCCAGGTTCAAGTGATTCTCCTGCCTCAGCCTCTCGAGTAGCTGGAACCGCGGGCGCCCACCACCATACCTGGCTAATTTTTGTATTTTTAATAGAGACAGGGTTTCCCCATGTTGGCCAGGATGGTCTCTAACTCCTGAGCTCAGGAGACCTGCACACCTTGGTCTCCCAAAGTCCTGGGATTACAGAGTAATGATAATGTTTTGAAAGGGAGAAAGAGAGAAAGCATCATGGGAAATGCAAATCACGTGTATTGGTTAGAAATTGGATGGATCTCACAAACATAAAGTGAAAGAAACCAGACACAAAGGAGTACATACTGTGGATTCTAAAACCCAGAAAGAAGCAAAGCTGGCCACACTACTAGCTTTAGGAGTTAGTTACTGCCCAGGGCACATGGAGAGTTTTGGGGTGATACCTCTGTTTCTCTGTGCGGACGCTGGTTAACCGGGTGAGTTCACTTAGCGAAAATTCATCTAACTGTTACAGTATGTGTGCTTTGCTGTGTGTATGGTATACTTGAATAAAAAGTTAAAACCAGTCTATTCTCAGACAGTCACCTGCTGGACATAAGAGGAAATCTGTAGGTGACTCTTTAGTACCTAAGAAGAGAATGCTGAAGATAATACTGAATTCAAACTCCATGCTGTCAGCTATAACATTTTATCACCATGAAATATAAATAAAAGCCAGTCGTAGTGGCTCATGCCTGTAATCCCAGCATTTTGGGAGGC